ATTTTTTAAAAGTTCGTATTGTCATAATGATTTTTGATGGACTTTCTTTAGATAAAAATATTTCAGTGAGTGAGTGAACATGTTTATCAAGCTTATTAAAGTAGATTAGTTAAGTGATTTATTCTTTGTTGTTTTAACCAACATCAGTTGGCAGTGATGTTGAGGCAGAGCAGTGATATTATCATTTTCTTGTACTTCTATTTGTTCTTTCCTATTCGTTATTTGAATGCTTTTAATTGCTTTCTGACTGCAAAATAGTGCTAGAATCTGTACTTTGTTGAAGTGCGAAGATACTTATGGTGTTAAAGTTCAAATCACAATGATGTTTCGATGTCTTGCCAGGTTTGTGTTAGTAACATAAACTGCATTTTAGTGATGACAAATTTTTTGGTCTCTCAAATATGTATGAACTTCCGGCGATTTTAGTGATGACAAATGCCATGGTTTCCGGCGATTTTGGTATGAGGTGAGGGAGAGAAGGTGAGAGAAAGGGTGGAGAGGTGAGGAGTGGGGGGTCGTTTATGTTAGGGTTTTAATTTGGTGGGGTCGATGACATAGCAGTTGACATGGAAGCTGACATGGATAAAATTGATGGGAGTCAGCTGCCACAGTGGAGGGACGTTAGAGTTAGGGGTAATTTTACAAACTTTGTTAACGGTAGGGACGAGAATGACCGAAAAGTATAACGGGTGGCACAAATAACCAATAAGCAATAGTAGAGGGGCAATTTTGACCCTTTGCCCAAAGAGATAAGAAATTCCAGAAGTAGAAGTGCAGCTGGAGACTGGAGTTGAGATTGGGAGATGTATTTTGCAGTCCTACGAGGCGCAAAACTGATATTCAGCGGAACTCTATTCGTATGTCTTCCATTCACAGTCCGTCTTCTTTGCCATCCTTCTTTTAATTGCTTGCGTTTTTATTAGAGAAAATTTCATAAACAACTATTGTTTAGTGGTTATTAGCTAGTTGTAGCTTCCATTCACTATATTACTTCCTATAGCTATGTTTTCAGGGTTTTTATTGTGTATTCGATGTATTTAAGCTATTGTATTTATGAATACAGTAGCATTTTTAGGCGTGAAACAGGGGATTACAGCTAGATAGATTTTTAAATTCGAGTGTATTCGATTTATTCACGGCGTGAATTAGGGGATTATAGCTAGACAGATTATTGTATTCGATTGTATTCACGATATGTATTTGTGAATACAGTAACGTAAACAGTGCAGTTCATGGTCTATTAAGTTGTTTTTAAACGAAAAGTGAATCAATTAACATAATAGACTCCTAATATAACTCAACAAAGTCAATTATAACACACGAAATTTGTATTATCATTTATAAAGAAGATTCTCAACCGAAACACACCCTAAAAACATAGCAATGTTCAGAGAAAATATGCTGAATATTTTAGCAATCGATAAAGACAATAAAAACAGAGCATTTTGAATACATATATACATCTGAATACGTAAATTATATTAATTAAAAAAATATATGAATACATTCATGGAATACAACGAATTCAGCAGCCGATAAAGACAATAAAAACAGAGCATTTTGAATACATATATACATCTAAATACATAAATTTTATTAATTAAAAATATATGAATACATTCATGGAATATAACGAGACAGTGAATATTTTCTATTATATAGAAAAGGAAATGATGGTTGACCAAGGGCATATATGTCATTTCATAAAAATTTCATGTTTGCATTTTTTAAATGCAAAAATACACATGGATCCCACATTCCTCTAGCCACAATTCTCCTTTAAATGCACTATGCATGTGTTGGTTAGACTTTGTGCAGTGCAAATGCTCATTTCCAATCTTTTTCTCATTTTGAAAAATTATTAATTTTGTTTTATTCAAATAGAAGTTTCCATAGAGAAAATAAAATTAATTTTTAAATAATATTTTTTCTATTATATAGAAAAGGAAACGATGGTTGACCAAGGGCATATATGTCATTTGATAAAAATTTCATGTTTGCATTTTTTAAATGCAAAAATACACATGGACCCCACATTCCTCTAGCCACAATTCTCCTTTAAATGCACTATGCATGTGTTGATTAGACTTTGTGCAGTGCAAATGCTCATTTCCAATCTTTTTCTCATTTTGAAAAATTATTAATTTTGTTTTATTCAAATAGAAGTTTCCATAGAGAAAATAAAATTAATTTTTAAATAATACAACAACAAAAAGAAGTATCGATATTTACAAGATTTTCATATTTACCCGTACTATCTTAAAGCAATTTGAAAATAAAAATTAAATGATTTTTATCTATCCATACTATTTGAAGACGATTTCATACTAAATATTTCTATTTCTATTATATAGAAAAGGAAATGATGGGTGACCAAGGGCATATATGTCATTTCATAAAAATTCCATGTTTACATTTTTTAAATGCAAAAATACACATGGACCCCACATTCCTCTCGCCACAATTCTCCTTTGAATGCACTATGCATGTGTTGATTAGACTTTGTGCAGTGCAAATGCTCATTTTTTTTCTCATTTTGAAAAATTATTAATTTTGTTTTATTCAATTAGAAGTTTCCATAGAGAAAATAAAATTAATTTTTAAATAATACAACAACAAAAAGAAGTATCGATATTTACAAGATTTTCATATTTACCCATACTATCTTAAAGCAATTTGAAAATAAAAATTAAATGATTTTTATCTATCCATACTATTTGAAGACGATTTCATACTAAATATTCTTATATTTAAAAGTAGTTCTAAAAAATATTGTTAAACCTCAAAAGTTAATTAACTAAACACCAACAAAATATAAATTTGCAATGTTGGGCCCGTATACGGGCCTTTCCTCATCTAGTAATGAAATACATGGAATACAGCGAGATACATTGAAATGCAATGAAAAAAAAGACAATGAATACAATAAAATACATGGAAATATAGCGAGATATATTGAAATACATTGAAATATAGTCACAGAAAATTCAAGTTGCTCAGCCCTAAATTCCGTCGTCTTTGTTCAAGAACAACCCTAATGTCGTCTCGTCGAGAGGGCCGCGATTCTGACTCGAAACGCCACTGTTCCTGTTACTCTAATTCGGATGATTGCTCAGCAGCCCAAAAGTCTGAACCAATAACTGCGCATGATCAGTACACGACGCCGTCTCAGCGGATCGAAATAACAATTCCCTCGAAATAGGAACCTCAATTTTCACTTTCTTCTTATCTACCACATCGTCCTTGCCGCCAATGATTTTCCTCGGAATAGGAACCTGAATTTTTAGTTTGTTTCCATCGATAATCGGTGAAACGACGTTGTTTTGATCGCCGGCGATTTTCAGCGGAGGAATGGAATCAGCCGGAGTTTTCATCATCATAAACTTCAAAACTTTGCAGTTCAAATCCATGGCAAAGAGATGAGATTCGAAGCTGTACAAACAAAAATATCTTTGAGAAGCTCTGTAAAAGTAAGATGAGAGAGAGAGGGAGAATAGATATGGGGTAGGGGATACGAGAAATTTGAGGGGATAAGAGAAATTTGAGTGGAGAGAGAAAAATAATACAAAACTTATTTTATGACTTAAGGGTAGGAGGTGACCATAAATAGATATTTGGCTATAAAAAATCAAAAGGTAGCTATGGAATATAATTTTTTAAAAGGGTATTTATTTAAAATAAAAAAGGTATCAACCTTTTGCTATAGGAGGTAACTAATCCTTTTTAACAACTACCGTATATTTTTAAAGCCAAGTAGAACTCGGTTTGGATGTCGTAGCTGCCCAATACTCAAAAATACTTCGCGATAGTTCCCACACCCAACTACTTGTTTGGATGTTGTTTCTTATTTTATAATGTATTATATTGTATTGTATTGTTTAATGAATACAATGTTTGGATAAATTGTATCGTTTGCTGTCGTTTCATGATGTCACGTACTAATAATATGAAGAATAAACTTGCAACATGACTAAGAATAGTAAGCGCAAGATGAGAGAAAAAAGCAAGGCAACGATGTCATCGTACCAAATTCGTCATTTTATACATTGACATTTTTTATCGTGACGTAATGATGGATTTAACAATACAATTAAATTTAAATATTAATTAAAACACACATTATATTTAAAGTAACAATACAATAGATAACAACCATCCAAACAAGCATTAACGTAAATATGAGACAATTTCAGCTATATCGTCTGGCGGTTGATTAAATAATTTAACTGGTCCGGGAAGCTCATGTTCCAAGTTTAGAGCTTCATTTCTTAGACTTATTTAGGACATTCACATTTTTAATTGTACAAATATATTGAAGCTATGTACTATGGCAGTATTATTTGAAGAGGAGATGGAGAAAAAACAAAAGAGTAACGACCTTATATAGCTAGCGTTTGACTATAAACCCCAAATTTATTTTGAAAGATCTGATTTGGTTGAAGTTTAGTTTGAAGATGAAAACAGGGGCGGATCTAGTGTGTAGTATACGGGTTCCCGGGAACCCAGTAACTTTTGCGTACACTCTATATTTTTGTTTAAAAAATTATAAAATATCTATTTGGGAACCAAGTTATTATTGTATATTAATTTGAAATTGCGACAGGAACCCATAAACTTAAAATCCTGGATCCGCCTCTGGATGAAAATGTGTTTGGACATACGTTTTCAAAACATATTTTCCAACTTTATTTTGGAAAAACATGTATACAATTCCCAAGTTTTGTGATTTTGGCCCAAAATCAGCTCAGAAGGGATTTGAGATTTGGCCAAAATATGAGCAAAATTTATGGCCAGACATGATTTTAAAAATAAATCCCAAATTTATTTTGATAAAACTCATGGCCAAACGGGGCATAATGTTCCGAGATGTACAAATCCAAAAAATAAATCCTCAAACAGAAAAATGTACCCAACAGAACCAAGTTCATTTCTTCATGCAGTTGATTTGACTATCTATAAATCCACCGACTGATATTCTATTACTTATATTTTACTACCTTTTTAATAAATCGAAAAAAGAAAAAGGAAAAAACGGGGAGATATTGGGGTCGGTTAATGTAGGTGTGAAGCAAACAAAAAGCGCGTTGAATGGGAAAGCAAAAGCCAAAAGGAGGAAAAAAGAGCAATGATTAAGGGAGTGAGAGTATCAGGACGCTCATTTGCCAAATTTGAAAAAGCTTTATCCAAAATCCATCAGCACAGATCATGGAACTCAACGTGAAGATAATAATACTACAATTACTCTCTTTGACGGCCGTTTTGTTCATCGGCGCAACAGTCAGAGCTGGAGAAGTAGAATACGTCAGACCTCCACCTCGTAAAGCCTTTCGTTTGCCATGGGATCCAAAGCCTTCCTCTCAACCTCAGCAGGTAATCATTTCACAATTTCACTATATGTAACTTGCTTTCATGTGGATTCACTATTTTAACTCAGTATAATCATTACTCTCTCTCCTTCAATTTCTGAGATGTACTTTCCTTCTTAGTGTGTGTCTAGAAGAAAAGGTACCTTTCTCTATTTAGAAGTAATTTAGTTCTAAACTTTCTATTTTACCTTAAGGAGATTATTTATAGTCACTTTAATATTTATGACTTGTCTTAGATCACAAGTTTAAAAATATTTCTTTTTTAAACTCTCTTATCTTCAAACGATATCATATGAAATGGGATGGGAGAGTATTTCTTTTGACCAAAGATATATATTTTTATATTTTTAAACAAAAATTTCAGCTGCAACATATATATCCGCCCATGCCTTTCTCGTTTATATCAATTGGTGTCAATTTCAACTGATTCTACTCAAGTTTTTTGGGATTTGAATCCGGATTACAGCTAGATAATGTAGCTTAGCATAGTCTAGGAGTACAACTTAGTCTTTGTTATAGGAGCTTAATTATTATTTTTTTGATCTGTTAGGGGTTTTTGGCGGATGTGATTTTTTTTTGCTAAAACTTTGTTATTCCTCACTATTGAAACTCCTTGTTTTGTGTCCCAATGTGTTAGCTTAAAAACTCAACTGTCTTTGAGCTCTTGGAGTTACCAATTTTGATCGGTGTCTGTATTTCATACTTAATAAAAAAGTAGTTATGATTTTCTAGGTGTTGCTTTCTATGTCTTCCACAATTCCAATTGCAATGTAACTAAGTTAGCAATAATAAAGCTTGTAGACGCCAAAGTTCTTTTTATTACCTGGTCTTTCATTTTCTATTTGTTTGTCAAGTTGGTTTTATGCCCTGTTTAGGAGGACCTAAAATCTTTCCATGGACATTAGTTAGTGGAGTGTAATAATGGCGAAAGGGTGCTTCATGCTTGGTGGTGGTGGTGTGGGGGTGTTTAAAGGTGGGCTGAAAGGTGGTTTTTTGTTGATAATGTTATGTAGGAAATAATGTTTACATATCCATAAAAAGCAAGTTAGAAGAGTATGAGCTTTATGGAAAATGACTAACGCCCATAATAGACTTAAGTGTAGAACATTGTCCTAACTCCTAAGGTCGCAGTTTGGAACTTGGATTTTAGATAAGAAAAAGAAACACAATTCTGCGAAAGCTGCATTTTTCATATCTGGAAGAGGAACAAAATTCAAAAGAAAAGAAATGGGAGGAAGATAGTAAGGAAGACTTACTCATATTTTGATGGAAATACTTTTGAGAAGCAGGAATGGAGCTGGCTGTTATCTCCTCAAGTTACGTGTACGCTGTTATGGTGAATAAATGGAGCCTGTATATTTAATCATGTGAATTGATATTCTCTTGGCAGGTTCACATCTCATTAGCTGGGGACAAACACATAAGGGTGTCATGGGTCACAACTGATAAATCTTCTCCTTCAGTTATTGAATATGGAACATCCACTGGAAAATACAGTTTTAAAGCTCAAGGAGAAAGTACCAAGTACAGTTACCTGTTATATAGTTCTGGAACGATACACCATACTGTGATTGGACCATTGCAAGACAACACAGTGTACTTCTACAGATGTGGCGGAGAAGGTCCGGAGTTCCAGCTCAAAACTCCACCATCTAAGTTCCCAGTTACTTTTGCTGTGGCAGGAGATTTGGGCCAGACTGGATGGACGAAGTCAACTTTAGACCATATAGACCAATGTAAATATGATGTTCATTTGCTACCTGGTGACCTTTCTTATGCTGATTATATTCAACATAGGTGGGACACATTTGGTCAACTGGTTCAGCCGCTGGCTAGTGCTAGGCCATGGATGGTGACTCAAGGGAATCATGAAAAAGAAACCATACCATTCATTGTGGATGAATTTATGTCTTACAACTCCAGGTGGAAGATGCCATTTGAGGAGAGTGGATCTACTTCAAATCTCTACTATTCATTTGATGTTGCAGGGGTTCATACAATCATGCTTGGTTCATATACCGACTATGATGAGTACTCTGATCAATATAGATGGCTGAAGGTTAGCTGAGCTCTCATTTATTCCTGAAATGGAAATCTTCTACTCCCTCCATTCACTTTTATTTGTCCACTATTGACTTTGTACACTCCTAAAGAAATAATAAATAAAGTGCATAATTTACCATGATACCCATATTAACTGGTGTATAGTCTTAATGGATATGAAAATTGATTTGGAATGAGTAATTAATGCTAAGGGCAAAACAGGAAAAATAAATTATTTTTCTCTTTTTCGGGAAAGGCATCGAAATCTGGCTCTGATATTGTGCACATCAGTTGAGCTTCCCATCCCATCTTTTTGTTCTTTTTCGGAAAAGGGTTATCAACTACTCCCTTGTTCACTTTTACTTGTCCACTATTAACTTTGCACACCCCTTAAGAAATAATAGATAAAGTGCATAATTTACCATTATGCCCATGTTAATTAGTGTATAGTCTTAATGAATTTGGAAAATGATATGGAATGAGTAATTAATGCTAAGGGCAAAACAGGAAAAATAAATTATTTTTCTCTTTTTCGGAAAAGGGATCGAAACCTGGCTAATGAGAATCTATTGTTATGCTAATAAATGAACACCTAGTTCATTTTGTGTTTCATGTTAGCACTAGAGGCTTCCTTCGAATTTCACACAATATCCATATGATCTAGCCTCTATCTTCTGGTTATTCAGCTATCTAATTGTTTCAGCAGAGGGGGAAATAAGGTTGTATGGCATGTATTCAGAGGAAAAAAAACTAAGAATCCCTTGACATGCTTAATTGAAAAGCATAGCGTCATGTCGTTTTGCTAATATAAATGCATTTATTGAAAATTCAACTGTAGGCTGATCTTCTAAAAGTAAACCGTAAAAAGACTCCTTGGCTGGTTGTGTTATTCCATGTGCCATGGTATAATAGTAACGAAGCCCATCAAGGTGAAGCTGATGACATGATGACAACTATGGAGCCTTTGCTGTATGCAGGCGGTGCAGATATAGTGTTTGCTGGACATGTTCATGCTTATGAGCGCACGGTATGCCTGGCTTGCTTATTAGCTTCTTATTCTTGATATTGGATGTATAACACAACTATTCTTTTCTTTTACAACAGAAACGGGTTTATAATGGTAGATCTGATCCTTGTGGTGCTGTTCACATAACAATTGGCGATGGAGGAAATAAAGAAGGTTTAGCGCGCAAGTAAGTCTTCCTTGAGTAATTTTTCCTGCTAGCTGAGCACAGGATCCTTAAAATGACAATGGAAGTAAGAACTCGTTTAGATCATAAATGGTCTCTGTATTCTTCTTCGCATTTCTTTCACACATTTAGCTTAGGAGGTGGTTCATCATAGTTGAACAACTTTACCGTTGCAAAATTTGGATTTAGAAGTTTCTAAGTGCCACTTTAGTTAAAATTAGAGGGGGAGTTATTATGATGCTGAACTTACATGTCATGACAAATTATTGACAGGTACAAGCTACCCCAGCCAGAATGGTCCGTCTTCCGTGAAGCAAGCTTTGGCCATGGTGAACTTGCGATAATTAATTCAACTCATGCCTCTTGGAGTTGGCATAGGAATGATGATGATGAACCAGTAAGGTCTGATCAGGTTCAGATTACCTCGTTGATTGGTTCAGGATGCAGCAGCGTTGCAGGCAGTCATGAACTAAGAAAAGTCCTTGTGGATCCTTAGCTCTCTCTTTGAAACTGAACTCTTAAACAGGCATGTATATGTATAGTCAGGTGATAGTTATACCTATTTTTACGCCGTTATATCCTGGTCCTTTATTATCTTGGACTGCACCTAGTAAGACCTCCATTGTAACAGTTTAATCTATATGGCTTGTTTTGAAGTAGATTAGCACTAAAAATGTTGAGAAGCCAGAGGCTTTGATGTTGTTATAATTTCTGTTGCTGGTTTAAGTTGCAATTTTTGTGGCTTAGATGTTTATAGAAATGTAGCATTCCTGGCCTCCCTCTTCCACCACCCCACGCACACATTAATGGAGAGAAAAATAAATGAGCGTACTTGAAAGCAGATTATTCATCCAAGTTGCTTGCTGCATCCAATATATGTGTATGGAAAGGAAATATGTAGGATAAAGTCATATCGATTAGGGCCAGTTTGGTTGGATTGTAGAATCTTTTATGATCATAAAAATAGATTAGACGTTGATTAAAACATATTCTGTAAGCGTGATTTTTTGTGTGCAGAAGAATGTATTGATTAAGGTATGGAAGGACCATTGGCTCCTTAATTTTAGTTTCTAACTGAAATGTGACTCGGAAATTCTCTTTCCTTTACGGGATTATTACTTGCGTACTCGCCTTCAATTACCCCGGTAGTTGACTACCAATATTAGTTCTATCATCAGCAAATATTTTATACATTAAGACACATGAAGCTGACAAAGATACCCAATATGCAGACCAGTTTTTTCGCATTTGTTATATTTAAACATCATTTGATGATAAAGAAGCAGCTGTAATAGTACAGAGACTACAGCCCAAAAAGAAAAATGAAGATCATTGTATAATCAATTAAGAGGTACTAATACGTAGAGGCTGTAAGGCCTAGTATCTTGGTATAGCACCCTACTATTATCAGCAACAAGGCTTTTCACGTGCTTAGGTGAGTGTCAAACTTGACGATGAGAAATGTACGTCTACTTCCATGCCATAGAAAAGAAAGAATAGTTTCAATCAACATTGTTTCTTTCACTAAATTACTCTGCAGAAAACATCTATTTCAGAAGCTTTAGCATGAACATTACATGTAACTAGAGTATTAATCTATCAATTACAAGATTTCACTAATTTTCGTCTGTTGAAAGAGGACTGGTATTGAATTAATTACAGCCACTAGTCCCTACTTGCATTTCCTTGGCAATGGCATCTATCAATTAATCTATCAATTACAACTAGAGTAATGTGTGATCTGAGCTGCCTAATTTAGCACAAGTCCAAAAACCTATCAATAAGAGAACCCAGGATAATGTCATCAAACATAATGGCCAGCTCTATTAACAAGTTCAAGCAACAGTCGAGAAGCCTCCCCAGATTCATTTTCCAAATGAAGATTGTGAATGCGTTGCTCTGAGATAGAAGCTCGAAATTTCAAAATACATCTGTGAGCTTAAGTTCCATTCAAGAGCCGGAGTTCTGTACTTCATCTTTTTTGCCTCTCCAGAGAATAATCTGCTCATCTTTGAACAAGATAGGAACACATGGTACCAGATCCTGAAATTAATTAAGCGCGAAATGGAACTTTCACAATCATCCACAGAAAAAAAGGGGGGTGATGTGGGGGTGGGAATGGGGACACATAAAGTATGAACGAATAAGTTTTCAGAGAATGGGGGAGAATCTGCCTAGTTCAGTAGTTATTTGCCTTATTGTCACAGATGGACAGATGTCGAGGTAAACTGACAATTCCTGAGATAAAGCTTCATTTTTTAAGACCGAAAAGGAGTAACCAATTTTTGTTTAAACATTGCAAGGATATTTTGATTTATGCTTATAAAGAGTTGAAAGCTGATGCAGCACATATGAGTCATACCCGTAATTTAACACCGATTCTTTTGCAGTCGCTTGTACCCACATGGGTACAATCTAATCTAACGACTTCTTCTGTTTCAAACGCCGCTCTAACTTTGTCCACCACATTCACATACACTCCATTTCTGCCTAGAGGAGTAACAGGTAACAATCAGCAATTACAGAAGGAAATCTGTTAACTTGTTTCAAACAAATGCGAGATATTAGGAGTTCAACTTGGACTCACAAAACACAAGTTACTCACTGAGTTTCGTTAAAGGAGGAGCATTGAGCCCTTTGTTCCTCATTGCCTTCGTTTCTTCAAATGTCAGGCCATCAGCAACATTCTTCACAAGCTTTGGATATATTGGAGCCAAAGGCTTCCACAGCATCACAGGAACAGTAGGTCTACTTTTGGGATCATAATTTCGACCACGATATAAGAGTAAGATATTGATATGGCGATAGACAACTTCTCCACCTGATTTGTCCTACAATGACACTGTGCTTTGCATCAGCAGCAGAAGTGTTCATTTGTAAAAGGTTAAGGGAATCAATGTTCAAAAATATGTGCCGACACTGGCATTTAGATCACAAACCTTGAGATGGGAGCATACGTTATCCATGTCAAGAGTTGGCACCCCTAAGCACTTAATCCTTATAGCTTCAGCCCTCTTCCAATGGCTATGGATGTCTTCCAGCATATTGTGCGTAACTCCACCACGTCCTAACAAACAATAATGCTATGATAACCATAGAAAAATATGGATCAAATTGAATTGAATGCAGTGGTCACTATAACAAGATGTAAATGAGATGCAAATTTATATCTACGATTCTACAGATACAAACATCAATCATCCGTAAAACAGAACCATGTGTGGAAGAATATCTACTTAGCTCAACTAACCTCAAACCTAAACTAGCCCAATATAAGTCCTTTGGATTCCTTCCACTTTATTTATCATAATAATCTGATTATTTTTATGTCGGCCGTCAACTTACTTTCCCGTTTATCTTGGCTAAGGTGTTCATATATACAAGAAAAACCCATAACTTCTTGGGAAGTACACAGAAAGGAAAATGTATTCAGAATGCAAACACAAATGACTCTATTTACTTGACAAAGACAATCACATAATTTTATCACAGAAGGCTGGCACTATTCACTATATTAACTAAGCAACAGAAAGGACTATCTTATTTTGCTTCAGTAATTTCTGTGGTTTAGCTACAAATCAATTATCTGCGACTGTGGAGATGAAGCCATGTATGCAAGAATATCTTCGTAACTCAAGTAGCACCAATCCTGATTCCTAAACTATATGGGGTTGGCTACATGCATTCTTTGGACTCATTCCACTTTATTCTTCAATGTTCAGATGATTCATCATAATAATTTGACCATCTTTATACGTCGCCAACTTACTTTCCAGTTTATCCTGGCTAAGACAGAGTTCATAATACAAGAATATATTATAACTTATTTTGGCATAGAAACAATCTAGTCAGAGTACGAATCCAAATGACTTTTTTTTTTTTTTTTACTTATCTAAGACAATCACATAATTTTATCACAGATGACTGGCATTATTCACTATATTAACTAAGCAACAGGAAAAAAAAAAAGTTTATTTTGCTTCAGTAATTTCTATCTTTTAGCTTATATCCAAAAATTTACTCCATTTTCTGCACAGCCAGCCTCAATCCAAACAAGTTTTGCAGCGTTATAAACCTTCTATATACATTCCTGATTCCACTTTATTAGTATCCAATTCCAACACTAATAGTAGATAAATTGTAGCATAAAACAAGTTAATTTTGCAGATATCTAAACCTTCTATATACGTTCCACCTTATCAGTGTCCATTTCCAACAGTAATACGGAGTAGATAAATTGTAACTTAAAACAAGTTAAGGGACCTTATTGAAATTACCCAAATTAATTTGGCGAGAACAATCATTGTGACGATACTTCTCGACCAGCTCCGCAGTTTCTTCCTCAGAGAGCGGTTCTCCGAGAACCCGACGCCGGTCCTCAGCCACTTTCTCCAAATCCACCGGCTGTAGACGCGGAGCTGAAGTCCCGGTCCATTTTCTATCAAGCCGTCCCGGGCCAAACGGAGAGAACCGGGGCGGTTCGCGGAAAGCAATAGGCTCAACCGCCGGGTTGGTCTCAGAGTAAGAGTAGCGAAAATCAAAGGGCAAGTCATAATTAACAGTAAAGTCCTGAGCTTTTTCACAATCTTCAATACATGAAGCGTTCTCTTGTTTTTGTCCGTTTTTCTTTTTCTTGGGTTTATGGGGGTTTAAGGTGGGAGAAAATGGAGGGTCGAAGATATCTTCTTCACCTGGCTGAGAGTGGAATAGGAAACGGTAAGTTTTGTTGAAAGATAAAGGAGAAGGAATATTGGCGATTTTGGAATGGATGGTTAAACGGCGCCATGGCAATAGCTTCATCATTACTGTGTGCGAAGCTCTGTGAATAAAACTTGGGGACAACCTTGTTATTCATAGGGGTGTTTATAAAAACCCCAAAAATCCAACCAAACCAAACGGAAAATCAAACCAAACCAACCAAAAAATATATACTTTTTGGTTTGGTTTGATTTTGCTTTTGAATTTTAAAAATCGATCAAATTTGATTTGGTTTGGTTTTTAATAAAAAATAACCCGAAAAATACGAACCAAACCGACTATAGAAGTAGCTATATCAAATTTATTATTACACTTATATATATATATATATATATATATATATATATATATATATATATGTATATGTATATGTATATGTATGTATGTATGTATATTTTTGTACAAAATTTCTAAAATTTTATGGTATATGTTAATTATTTGCACTTTTAGTATAATTCTTTGACTTTACATTCTAGGTTGATTGGTTGTTTTCTTTTGCTAAGTATAAGAATCTATTTCATGTTAAAAATAATCTATTTTTAATTGAGTCCTTAAATTATT